CAAATTTCTAGTGACAGAAGAAATAGTTTTTTTTTCGAAATGATTGATGCTCATGAATTAAAAAAAAATGTGAAAAAATAATATTTTACAAATCTGGCGGAATTGGTTTAAACTAATAATTAATCTCGGTTAAATCCTATTATAAAATATACACTATTATTTTTTTACATTTACATATGCCCCTAAAGTGCAACCGTATGTTGACATATAGTTCTCGACAAATCTATATTTTAGTTAGGGTTTTTTGATGTTTTTATCTTTGTTAACAATAACCAACCTCTCTTATATTTCCCCTCCGCCAAAACGAATCATATCCATTAATCCCATAAAATTGAATTGAAATTAAAAAGCAAACTATTTTGCCCAGTCTCCCCTTTAATAGAATAAACACCTCATTAAGAAATGTGTTTAATTTGCTGTTTAACGCCATTCTATGGAGACACTCCTCCTAATGGTTCCCACTGCAGTCCCCCACATTGTTGTTAAAATTGTTTAAATTGCAATTTGGAAAATTTCTTATTTCAGCTCCATTCAGCTTTGTGCTGTTTTAGCAAGAAATGCTAGTAATTAAAAATGACATTTAATGAGTTTGCAAAACCATCAATAGATTTCATTATCCTTTTTTAAAACGAGGGACATTGTCATCTATTAAAAAAAACACACGCGAACTCACACACACATAAAGGGGTACTTAGCGGTAATTGTCATTTAATTTAATTCGGGTTATATTTTTAAAGGTTATTAAACTGGTATTATAAATTAATGAAAAATAGTATTTTAAGGGGTATTGTGGTAGGTGTGGATAATATCCTGCACAACGACCATTGAACTTTAAAATTGTACAGACCTAAATACCGAGGCTAAACTAAATTTCATCGTAATGACACATATTTTAGTCCGCTATTTGTCAGTCAGTCTTAGAGGTTATATATCCTGCTAAATATATGAAAGAATATATCAAATATTACCCGATTTAGCAATATGTACCGTTCTGTTGTATGATTTGTTGCCATTATAAAGGTAACTTCATAATGCCTCTCTCATGGAAGTCCTTCTTTCTATTAGCAAAAAACTCTAATTTCGATTTTCACCATTTTCCCACAACTCACCCCCCTACCATTCACCCCACCCCCATACCATTCTCGGTTTCAAAAAATTTAATTTAAAAATAAATACTTTTCTTTTAAATAAGGACTTTTCTTTAATACCATAACAACAAAACAATAACAAAAAAATTATAAGTTATTTTTCTTTTCTTTAAATCCATAAATGCAAGATACAAACCTTAACAAGCTTTGGTATTGATTTAAAATCGGGAATGGGGGGACGGGGGGAGTTCCCTTAAAACAGTTTTATGGCCTTGGGCGATGTTACGACTGCTAACAGGACTGTCAATGTCGATCATTTCTCCCATGTTATCGATGACCGGCCTGTGTGGGCTGCATCTTTACCATCAAAACTCTACGAAACCAAAATTGCACATAATTGGCTGTTACAGTATCGGAACCATGCCGCTTGGCTTGCATATCGCCCACAACTCACAACTGAATGAAACAAACAAAAAACAGAAAAACATTTTGTTTTACTGCGAAACGTCACCTTTCCAACGAGCATACATCTGAAATTGTTTGATCGATACTTTGCGAGAAATCTATCATTGCAGCCATCTGACGAAAAAATAATTAATTTTCCCGGAGTAAAAAATAAAAATCACATTTTGTTATTTTACTCAAAAAGGTTTTGGTCATGACAGCGATCGCCTTCCCCATGAATATGATACCCTACACAACTACCACTGAAGACTAACATTTGGTGGATCTATATTCAGAGATCCAAATTTTCGAAATTTGCCCTTTGCTGACCGATTAAAGGTCAACAATTCATCCTTCCTACACTGACATATTATCCGAGTCATATATTCCCGGAGTGAACATTTAAATCATAACATACAAATTTTCTTATTTTACACACAAAAGTCTTGGTTCATTTGACCCGTAAAATATTGACCGATCATTATTAAAAAACAACAGACATTCTCATTAGTAGAACAGATCCCTTTAGTCATCTAAAATGTTTAAAGTTCGACTTGCAATTATGGCCTCTAGACAGACTAGAAACCCTGGCAAAAATAAACTTTTCAATCGGAAATAATATGTGTCGTTCATGACCCCGATCAATGCCATATTTCCGGCGCAAGTTGTGGTAGTTGGTTGCTAAATAATGTAAGATACTTAGACACCTGCAAAATATATATCACTATAATTAGTATAAATTTTTGGGTCTATGTCCTTCAGAAGTAAATATATACGCCTCAGAATACAAATTTTGTAATTTTTCACACAAAAGTCTAGGTCCATTTGGCCCGCTAGCTATTGACCAATTATCATGAAAAGGGTCATACTAATTATTCGGTATTATTTTCCCCGGCAAAATTTCGGGTCGTAATTGTGGCCTCTAAAAATCAACAGAAAATTCTTATTCCATTTCATCACCTAAATATTAACGAATTATTACCAAACTAGGAGTCTTCTTTGACCGGAACACGTACTACATGCCAAATTTCGTAACGATTGGTCCATAACTGTGGACGGTATCGTCTTTACAAATGATCAGGGACAGACGAACGGTCGGACACTCATGTCCAGATCGACTCAGCTAGTAAAGATATAACGATCGATATACTGAAAGGTGGATCTAGGACCAATATTTCTTGGCGTTACAAATATTCGCCAAGAAACTGTGTATAAAACTGATAAATACCCTGAATCAGAACATATATGGACAATATCACGCCTATTTTTCCTTTTTTTAATGCTGATACCTTGAAATACCAAAACAACGTTTTTTTTTTTTTTTTTTTGAACTAGGACCTCAAAACAAATGGGGTCCACGTCTTGCTATAACCTCCAACTTTTTGGTATTTTGAAGGTTTTAGACGCATTATCTAAACGATACAGTCCATTTTTCGGTATTATTATATGTTCTTGTTTTGAGAGAGCCTTCATGTACATCTGATTTTTAAAAATCCACGCGTCTGATGGTTTTAAATAAACAATTTTTTTAAATCTACGCTTCTGGTGGTCTTTACAAAAAAAAAAATATATATATATATATATATGATGCTCGTTAAATTTTTGTTAACCCATGTTTCTGATGGCCGTAAAAATTGCCCAATTTTTGATTATGTTGAAGGTTTTATATTTCTGAGTTATTAAAATGCTTCCCAATTAAACATGTTCTATGTGCGCCCATGCGTTAAAAAAGCCTCCATATGAGAGTACAGACTTATTTAAGTACTTTTGAACGGTCCCAGATGCATTTTCCAACCTAAGTGCCAGTAATTTAATATTCCGATTGTTCATAGAAGAATGCATAATTTTATAGGTTTCTTATTAAGGTTTGCTTTAAAATATGAGTTGTTTTAGGCGACATTACTTGACACACAGTGAGCATTCTTTATAGACTCTTTTGAAAGGAAAATTTTCTGTATGGTAGAAATGGATTTCATTTTTTGCCTTCGTTTTTCAATTTCAATGGGGGCATCTCATTTACAATACAAAACATCCTAGGAATTGTATAAATATATGTGTAAAATTGCAGGCCCTTTTTTTAAATATTCCTATATTGCCTATAGCCAAAATCTTTTTCATTTCCTTTTTTACAAAGCATCTGCACAACAATTTAAAATGCAATGACCAAAAAACGCCGTCTACAAAATCACTAACTTATGGTCGGCGAATGCAAGAAACATATTTTTTCTATTCACCTTCATCAGCTTCAACCAAAAAAAATATGTGAGCAAGAAATCCTTTTTTCTCTCTTTTTTGCAACAACCATCCATATGCTAATAACCCTTTTATCCGGATAATAGCCAACGAACAAAGAGAGATCACAACCATCCAAACCACACCAAGCGAACGAACGAGCCAACCAAGCAAAGGTAATAACAATTATCGTTTTAATTCGATTGGCACACCCAAGACAATGACCATGAATGGCTTACAAGTATGTTTTTGTTTTTTGTCATGGTTTACAACAAAAACACGAAAGAAGTGTCATTAGTAGTTTTTTTTTTGTGCCACAACGGTGGCAGCAAACTAATTTTATTATTTTAGAGGAAAGGGAAAAAAACAAAATAGGTGGAATAGCCGTTGCAACATTATTTTGTCTTTACACACCAACACTCTCGCACATAAACACTCACACTTACAAGTGACACTAATGCATCCACGTTACCTATTCTTCGTTTATTTTTTGACACACTTTGGAAAGTATCCAACTAATAACGAGCGCCAAGTAGAAAATAGAATTTTACATTTTAGCTGTTTTGATAACACCGAATAATACAGTGAAAGAAAAAATAACTCACGCATATAGGTCTTTGAAAAAATATCCTTAAAGAACACACACATGTGTTGGGCCTTGAAAAAATATTCTTAAAAATCCTCGTCCTTGAAAAAATATTATTAAAAATACAAGTTTCACTTCTATATGTCCTTGAATCGATTTCCACATCATAGCCCTAAGGATACAATCAAATCTTGAGACCAACATCTTCTAAGCAATATCAACGGAAAGTTTGTTAATCGAAACTTCGCGACGTTAACACTAATACCCAAAATTCACTTATCGAGCTGAAAAATCCAATTTTATAAGAAGCATTATTTTTTATTTTCCATAAAAACATTTCTAGGACTATTTTCCGTGTAAAATGCTATCCTTTCAACATTCTTGGCTGTCTTTGTTGCAATCATCGTCCACTCCTTGTTACACACTAGCCCCAAAATAAAATAAAGCCTTTTTTTTGCCTTCGTTTTTCAGTTTGTCTGCCGGTCTGTGCCTGTTAAATATCAGTCCGGTTGTCGAGACTATCCCAGGACTACATTTTACTCTTATACAAATGCAAGGCGTTTAGATAAAATTCTATACTTTGTTGGGTTATTTTTATTTTATTTTCCACTCTTGGTTCTTATTCTCGATGAACAGACACCGGACACACAATGACTGCTGATGATGATGACGACAACAGCAGCAGCAGCTGCAGACGGTAACTGCAACGGAAACAGGAAAAGGCTTGCCAACATCAGCTGGTCATGTGGTCATTTATTTAAGCTCAATTGAATTAAGTTTTGAATTTTGAGTACATATCCTTCTGCTGGTCGTTTGTCCTTAGGAGACTTTTTCGTGAGTGCATCTATGTGTAGATGTGTATGTATGCACAATAGAAACAATAACACCATGTAGTTTGTGGTGGTGACAAGATTGTTGTTTATATTTGGTGTCCCTTGATGGGGTATAGAAGGAGTTTAAGGGAAATAAAAATATTAACTAATATTTTTTATATTTTTATAAAAAATATATTCTTAAAATTATACCCTTCTGATGGTCCTTGAAGAAATATTTGCATACAATAAAGCTTCTAGTGATCCTTGAGCAATTGTTTTCCAAAAATTGACCATTTTGATGGTCTTTGAACAAATATTTTTTTTTTATAAGTCCTCGCTTCTAAGGTTCCTGAGAAAATATTTTTGTACCCTACACCACGCTGTAGTACAGGGTATTATGTCTTTATGCATATGTTTGTAACAGGCAAAAGGAAACGAGATAGACACGTGGTTCCTTTTGAGAATATGCATAGAATCTCTTTTTAAGTCGATTTATGCATGTCTGTCCGTCCGTCCGTCTTTCCATGTTAAATTGTAAACAAAGTACAGATCGCATTTATTATCCGAATTGGATGAAATTTGGCACAGCTCATTTATTTGGCTCAAGGACGAACCCTATTGAAATTGGGAAAAATCGGTTCAGGTATAGATATAGCTCCCATATATATTTTCGTTCGATTTAAGGTAAATAGTGCACCAAAGTACCTATACATCTTTCGATTTGCACCAAATTTAGCATAGAGAACTAAATTAAGTCTAGAATAATGTGTGTTAAGTTTCGTGATGATCGGTTCAGATTTAGATATAGCTCCCATATATATTTTCGTCCGATTTTATGTAAATGGTGCACCAAAGTCCCTATATATCCTTCGATTTGCACGAAATTTTGCATAGAAAACTGAATTAAGTCTAGAACCATGTGTGTTAAGTTTCGTGATGATCGGTTCAGATTTAGATATAGCTCCCATATATATTTTCGTCCGATTTCAAGTAAACAGTGCACCAAACTCCTTATATATCCTTCGATTTGCACGAAATTTGGCATAGCGTACTGAATTGAGTCTGAAATGATGAGTTGTAAGTTTCGGGAAAATCGGTTCAGATTTCTATTTAACTCCCATATATAGTTTCGTCCGATTTTAGGTAAATAGTGCACCAAATTCCATATATATCCTTGGATTTGCAAGAAATTTAGCATAGCATACTGAATGAAGTCTAGAGTGATGTGTGCTAGGTTTCGGGAAATTCGATTCAAATTTAAGATGTTTTTTTAGTCAAAAAAAAAATGGAAATAGTTGTTTTCTAAAAAATATTGTTTTTTTTTTTAATTCTATTTATAATGTAGATCATAAAATATGCTATTTATGACTCTCACGCATGGTGTGTGTGCAGGTCTCAAGTGGAACGTCAATAGTGCGTTGGTAAATAGAGATAAGATTGCTGCACACGGCGCGCATAAGAATGCATTTTACATAATTTGTTGTCTGTGTGTATTTTTGGGTGATCGTAAATAAAGACCATAAATGTGTCCAAACCCAAATCTATTTACACATTCAATATATGTATTTGAAATGCATTGTAGTTCTATGTATTAAAATGTAGGTTTAGAGTTAAGAAAATATTAGAAATAAAATGAGTTCACCTCGAACCACGGAACCGTCAACACCGTGCGTTTTTGTTTTCTCCAATTTCTCCCGTCGCACATTTGTGATGAGATCAGGAGTCATCTCATCATTTGGTGACCCCGACGTGATAGGCGCGTAGTGAAGAAAAACGTGATACGTGATAGGCGCGTAATAAAAGACGTGATAGGCGCGTAATAAAAGGACAAAAGGACAAACTACGTTGGTTATCGCGTAGTATTTAGTGAAGTGATAGGCCGTAAAAGAAAAAAAAATAAAATCGGTTTTTTCACATAGTGTTAGTGGCGTGATAGGCGCGTATAAAAAAAAATACGTTTAGTTTGTCGCGAAGCGAAACAATAGACGCGTAGTAAAGAAAGAACTGCGTTAGGTCTATTGTGAAGTGTTTAGTGTAGTGCTACTAACGTGTTAGATGTGCCGGTGAAGGCAAGCCGTGCTAAGTCTACACGTATTGTTTTGGGATAGGCACACTGCTGAGGTAAAGGCAGTGTTAGTTTTTGTCCAATGGGAATAGGCAGTCGAAGAAAGACTGTTTTTATCTCGTTAACATAGATGATTTTCATAAGAAGACAGATATATAATCGTAAAAATGAATTTTGAACAATTCATTCAACATCAAAGAATGTTGGGCGAATATATCGTCTCTATTTATTTAAACCTGAGCAAAATTGCTCAAAAACGTGTGACAGGAGAAATTAGAAATTATTGTTTAGGTTTAGCAAATTCCTTCATAGAAGCAAGGAGGGAATTCCTAGATAATGAGGAGAAGCTCCACCGTATGGGAAAGGTTCCATACAAACATATATTGTTTGGTTTGGGAGTACGGTATGCTTTTGACGAGATTGAAACCCGTATGTGGGTGAGGGGTATTGTCGTACCCTTAGAAGCTCCAAGGTTTGAAGCAGTAGCTAAGTTGAACAGCGTAAGTTCATCAGGAGAGTATGAAGATAGCGATATATTTTTCCTATCGCCACAAGAAAAAGATACACTAGTTAGGCGACTAAGTTTTGCCTTAGAGGAGTTAGCAGAAGAGGTTGAGAATGCTCTTCTGAGCAACTCAAGAATTAGCTTTCATAAGTATGTAAACGCTGAAGGTAGATATTTAGAATATGGCTTGAATTTACCTGTAGATAGTGTTCTTGCTAGAAGATTTTTCTTTCTTGAGATTTGCTATGAAGTATTAGAAAAAGATACTAATTTTAGAAGAGGATACGAACTGATTACATATAGGGTCGTGAATGAAGAATCTCGTTTAGAGAATGAAAATGACTTAGGGACGAGTGAGACGGAGACTACAAAAATTAGAAACGGTCACGTTGATGTTCCGCGAGTCGGTGTGGAAGTCGAAAACAACAAACCACAAATAACGCGTAAACTGAAGCATAAAATCGATAACGCGAATTTCCAAACAATAGAGACTGCAAAGAAAAAAGATGCAGTTGAAGAAGAGCTGCCATCACGGAATATAAATAAGGCAGCTAGAGGAAACGTGCAGCAAATGAAAGAGCCAGACCCAATCCTCAAGGATAAAGATCGAAAGAGTGGCTGGGAAGATCCTATAAAGAAAATTGTTGCCGAAACCCTAAAAGCCCATAGTGAAACTGCAGAGAATACCAACCCGACGGTAACAGTCACTGGTCCAGCGGTTGGCGCTACCGACGGCTGTCCTGCTGTCCAAAATGCACTCATAGATAAAGATGAGTCACTGCCCAAAATAGGAAAGCACGTAGATGAAAATGACTATAAAGAGTTGAAAACTAATAAGAGTAAAAATTCATATCGAGTTGCGGCGAAAATAAAAACGACCTTACCCACAAAACTTCAAAATAAAGATCAAAAGGACATCGTGAAAGAAGTTTGTAAAAGGTCGACTAAAGAAAATAAAGAGGAATGTGCCAAAAGGAATACGCTGGAACACAAGGTTCCTGTATTAGCGCCTTCTTACGGTAGTTTGCAAATAAATATCCAATTCCGTCATGATGATAAGCTAATAGAGCTGAACAAGGAAACTGGTGAAGCCGCCATATTCAAAGCAAGGATGTTGAACCACACCTATTATACAAGGAGAATTTTTATCGACAAGGTTTTCAAAGATTTCCGCAAAACCATGAACATGGACGAGGAGAGAAATAACATCAAGGAAGAGAAGAAACCGTTAAGAAAGAGGTTTTTCCTAGTTTTTCATCGGTGGAAGATGGAGTCATGCTGCCACTGGCTGCTGGATGTTGTGGGTGCCATAACGTAGGTGAAAGGAGCATAGTGAAGCTGTTCCGGTTATTTTATAATCTCTATTAAAATTAGAACTTATATTTGACATTTTTTTATATTTGGAAATTTTAGAAATTAAGATATAACATTCAACCGATTGTTAGTATTAAGAAAATTTTGTGAATTTCATACATTTTATCTATACATGTTTTGTTAAAAGATTGGGATCTTTTAAGGCCCGCAGTCTGTACAGTTTAGTGAACTGTACGTCATTTTGGAGTCAGGTAGTCAAATGGAAATAGTTGTTTTCTAAGATTCTATTTATAATGTAGATCATAAAATATGTTATTTATGACTCTTACGCATGGTGTGTGTGCAGGTCTCAAGTGGAACGTCAATAGTGCGTTGGTAAATAGAGATAAGATTGCTGCACACGGCGCGCATAAGAATGCATTTTACATAATTTGTTGTCTGTGTGTATTTTTGGGTGATCGTAAATAAAGACCATAAATGTGTCCAAACCCAAATCTATTTACACATTCAATATATGTATTTGAAATGCATTGTAGTTCTATTTATTTTGTTAGGTTTAGAGTTAAGAAAATATTAGAAATAAAATGAGTTCACCTCGAACCACGGAACCGTCAACACCGTGCGTTTTTGTTTTCTCCAATTTCTCCCGTCGCACATTTGTGATGAGATCAGGAGTCATCTCATCACCATTTTTAAAATTCCACACTTGAATAGTCCCTGAAAAACATATTTTTTTAAAAATCCTCTTGAAAAATATTTTTGAAATATACACGCTCCAAAAACATTGAAAACCCTTTTTTGTTTTTTCTTTAATATTTCTTTAAATCATACGCCTTTGATAGTTTTTCAAAAAATATTTTTACCATTTGAATCTCGTAGCCTAGCATCCTTACTTCCATCATACCCCCTCGCATAAAACTGCAATCTTTTCGTTTAACATTTTCAACACGAAAAAGCCAAGATTTACGTAAATTGGTATTAAATGTGGTTTTGCCATTTTGTTGTATTAGTTGTTGTGTTTGTTTTTCACCCATTTTATAGACCTCAAGCCCTTTTGAACTTCTTGTCTGCGGTAAATGCCCAAATAGGTCTACATCGACAATGGACACCAACCACTAAATGGACAATGCCTTTATTGTTGTTGCCGCTGAAGCATACAAAAGGACTGTCCAAAACCTAGTTTCGTTTGCCCCGAAAACACAATGTAGAGGACAGGCATAAGGACAGACTACCAGAAAAGCCTCAAGAAAATATTTTTGGAAAAAATTATATTCGGTTTACTAATGTCATTGTTAAACTATTGTTTGATGGCATAGTATTTGGGTAAAGGGCGGAATAGGAGTTGCTGGCACATTTTTCGAAGGTAATTGAATAAAAGTTAAATCTAATAAACGACTAGTCGTGCATGTGTACCCATTGGTGTTTAGTTGTATGAATAAGACCATAACTATAGTGAGGTTTTGGAAAAGTATATAAATGGTGCTGCTAGAAAAAAAGTAAGAACAAAAAACGTAGATATTATAAAACCACTTTGGGTATATTCAGCAGATGAATACTAACAGACGTCGCATTTCTGAAGTACCATTAATATGAAATTGGATCCATAAACATGTCATTCTGTAACCCATTCTTTATTTTTCATTTGGATTGCTTATTGAAATGGGACAAAATTATGAAAATCAATTTTAAGCAAATATCAAACGAACACCCGATTTTCACAAAACTTAACACACATCATTATAGACCTAATTCATTACGCTATGCCAAATGTCGTGCAAATCGAAAGATATACATTGACTTTGGTGCACCATTTGCATCAAATCGAAGGAAAATATTTATGGGAGCTATATAAAATAAATCGATTTTCAGATAGATCTATTTCAGTACACTATGCCAAATTTCATGCAAATCGAAAGATATATGGGGACTTTGGTAACCCATTTATATTAAATCGGACGAAAATATATAGGGGAGCTATATCTAAGTCTGAACCGATTTTCACGAAAATTAACACAAATCATTCTAGACCTAATTCACTAAGCTGTGCCAAATTTCGTGCAAATCGAAAGATTTACATTTACATTAAATCGGACGAAAATATATATGGAAGCTGTATCTAATACTGAACCGATTTTCTGGAAATTTAACACACGTCATTCTTGACCTAACTCAGTACTTTATGTCAAATTTCGTGTGAATCGAAAGATATATGGGGACTTTGGTGCCCCATTTACATTAAATCGGACGAAAATATATACGGGAGCTATATCTAAATCTGGACTGATTTTCGCGAAACTTAGCACACATCATTCTAGACTTAATTCCGTACGCTGTGCCAAACTTCATGCAAATCGAAAGATATAGAGGGACTTTGGTGCCCCATTTACCTTAAATCGGACGAAAATATATATGGGAGCTATATCTAAATCTGAACCGATTTTTTCCAATTTCAATAGGGTTCGTCCTTGGGCTAAATAAGTGAGATGTGGCAAATTTCATTCAAATCGGATTATAAATGCGACCTATACTTTGTTTACAATTTAACATCTACAGACGGACGGACATGCATAAATCGACTCAGAAAGTGATTCTATGCATATTCTCAAAAGGAACCATGTGTGTATCTCGTTTCC